AAGTGTGCCAGGCGGTATCACGGTTAAACAAACAGCGCTTTACCTGGTTCCCTGAAATGAGTTTACATAGGAACGGCTTACTACTTCCCTCTCTCCTGCCTGATGACTGACATCTAAATTGCTGTGTGGTTTTCGTACTAATACGAGCGTGTAAGGTTAGACAGGGACGGCGATATTCTCGGTTTCCGTAAACGCTTCGTCATTAGACGCATATGGTTCCCGGAAAATGAGTTTGTGTGGTGATTTTGCACACTATCTCCTCCTCCTATTCTCGATCTCTGGTTATTATTTCTGCTCCTCTTACTAAGTGCGACGCTGATCAGGTTTACACAAACCGGCGTGTTTAGTTTTCGCGCATGACGTTTAACATAGTTACCGCGTCTTCTGACCATTCACTTCTCTCGCTTCTGACTGTACCGCCTGACATAAAATTTCTTGTCTTCGGTTACTACATACGAAGCCTGTCAAGGCTTAGAACAGGAACGGCCATTTTGTTTGCTAAACGCTCGCGTATTAAGAATACTGGGCCCGAGAAAGAGGGGGGGGGTTTTTTTTTGCGGCGTTTTGGTATACCTTTTGCACCTATCTCCCTCTTCTTATTCTGATCTCTGGTATATATTTCTTGCTCTCTTACTTAAGTGCGAGCTTGATAGGTTAACAAACCCGGCTGTTTTAGTTTTCGGAATGAGTTAACATATTACGCTTCCGTCCCTACCCATACTCTCTCCTTCTCCGATGTGACGTGATATAAAGATTCTGTCGTTTTAGCTAAGTACGAGCTTAAGGGTTAACAGACGGCGATTTTGTTTGTTAAGGCGCTCTCGTCCCATTAGAGATCGCACTGGTTCTCCTGTGGCGCGTTAAAAGACTGTGGTATATTTTGGCACACTATCGCCTCTCGTGTATTCTGATCCTGCTGTTTATATTTGGGCGCTCTCTTACTAAAGTGCGAGGCTTGATAGGATTCAACGGCAGTTTGGTGAGTTTTCGGAATGAGTTTACAGTGGTAGTGACGGCTGTTCTGTAGCGATACCCTTGGCTCGCTTCTGATGTGTGGCGGTTGAGATAAAGTTCTTGTTTGTCTTACTAGATGTACGAAGTCCTGGTAAGGTTTAATCAGACGGCGAGGTGTGTTGTGTGAATACGCTTGCTCGTATATAGTGTGATTCATGGTTCCAGATAAAGAGTTGTATATTTCGGCACACGTATCTCCTGCTCTGGTATTCTATCTCGTGGTTGTCGATAGTTTCTGCTCTGCTTTTTATAATGGTGCGAGCCTGATCAGCGGTTAAACAAACGGCGTTTTAGTTTTCGGACATGAGTTACATAGTTACGCTTTCTACATACTCTCTCCTTCTGGATGTCTGTTTAATAAATTTTCTTGGTTTCGGTTACTAGAGTACGAGCCGTGTAAGGTTAAAACAGACGGCGATTTGGTTTGTAAACGCTTCTATGTAGAGATAATGCGTTCCAAGAAGAGTTGTATATTTTGCACACTATCTCCTGCTCTTATTCTGAGGATCGTCGGTGTAGTATTCTGCTCTTCTTACTAAGTGCGAGGCTGATACTGTTAACAAACGGCGTGTTAGTGTTTCGGAATGAGTTTTACATTAGTACGACTGTGTCTACATACTCTCTCCTTCTGAGGTGTCGAATCAAATTCTTGTTTCGTTACTAAGGGCGAGCGTGTAAGGTTAACAGACGGCCCGGATTTTTTTTGTACACCTTCGTATTAGAGATTATGGTTCCCGAAAAGAGTTTTATATTTCCGTCCACTATCTCTCTTCTTATTCTGCTCTCTGGTTTATTTCTGCTTTTCTTTTAAGTGCGGGCGGTATTACGCGTTAACACACCGGCGTTTTGAGGTCACTGAAAGAGTTTAAGATAAGAAGAACCGCTTACTACCTCCTCGTCTACTTCTGATGTCTGAATAACATTCTTGCTTCGTTACTAAGCTGTGAGCTGTAATGTATATCAACGCCGGGATTTTTTTTTGTACACGCTTTTCGTATCTTGAGAGATATGGTTCCCTAAAAGAGTTTATTAGAATGTTCGCCGCACTATCTCTCTCTGTATTCTG